CGATACTCGATACCGCCCTCAGAGTCATGTCGACGGAGGTTTCGTGTATTTCTGGTGGAATTGACATTGTACGATTGGGATGCCGATGCTCCCGCCGGCAAGAAAGGGGCAACCGAGGGGACAGAGCCCTTCCGGCCTGTAGTGACAGTGCTTTCCATATTTCGCACTCGCTCCACTGGTGTTTTTGGTCGCACAGAACTTTGCGCCCGGGTTGCCTCGGTCCGCGATGGGGGGCGCTCGTAGTTGCGTGTTGTTGATGATCGTGTCTGGCTTTGAGGCCGAAGACCAGGCATCGAACGCTTCATGCGGAGAAGCTGAGCATTTGTAGTGGTGGGCTCAACCTTTTGTGATGTCGTAGTTGTCTTCTGTGCCATGTTCCTACGTGTGGTTGTTGTAGACGGCGCGGGCTGCGATGTCCCTGAGGACATGACACTTGAGATAGAAGCCTGCGAATGATGTCCCGAGCGCGTCAGTGATCGTCTTGAAGAGCTCCTCGTATCTGCTTCTCCCGTCTCAGACACAGGCTCGAGCGAGGACTGTGTTTGGGTTCGCTCATGGCTCACTAACGACCCCATCGATCCCATAGGTCGTGGAAGACGAGAAGCAGCCACGGGCTTATTGGTGAACTTGAGGGCCACTGAAGCTTTGGGTCGATTTGGGCTATCGCCTCTAGTGTCCTTGACCTTGATGTTACGATGTAGAGTCAACTTCTTGGAGTCGAATACCTCCCCATCGCCAATATCCAGTCCAGAGAGGAAGTCTTCTTGCTCCTCTCTGTCTTTCTTTTGGACTCTTTCCACAATGACTGGTTCTTCCCGAATCCGTTCCGAAGACCTGCTTTGCCGGCGACGGTGCAATCTCTCCTCCCAGTTGAGTGGTCCCGGGGGCAGGATGATGCCATCAAATTCGTCTTCACTTTCTGCTACAGTAGAGCTTGCTATGCTAGGGCTAAAGGCTGACACGGATGAGGTTGAGAAGGCATGGTCGCGACGGGTACCGCCGAAACGAGTTCCAAGACTCCCTTCGCCCCACTCGAAGTCATCCGAGGTGTTGAGGGTCGGAAGCTTGGGGGTCTCTCTTCGATTCGAGAGTCTAAGCGTCCCGTCCATCGGGAGCTCAAAATCGTGTTCGAAGTCGTCTTCATCCGGAGTGACCTTTAGAGGAGTAGCGGGTGTTAAAAAGGTGATGGGCTTTAGGGTATTGCGCCTCTTCTTCACTTTGATAGTCTCAGTCCCATCCCCAAAGAAATCATTGTCATCATCCTTGTCCCGAAAGCGTTCTATGTCGATAAGGCCAGTCGAAGTAAGCGACGGGCGGGATACCTTCCTGACCTGGACTACGTCCATAGGCTTGACGGTGAGTTTCTGTGGGGCCAAGGCACGGCTTGGGAACGTGTTACTCGCTTTGCGCATGGCCTCTGGACGGCCGAACGACCCGCTGATTTTCCGCACAGGCTCCAGGCGACCTGAGAAGGAGCCGCTGGTTCTGCGCGGGGGTTGAGTATGTGGCTGGAACGAGCCGCTAACCTGCCGTATCGCCTCTGGGAATTGCGAACTATCCCGCTTCTTGATTTGCAACTGGCCGGCATCGGAAGGGAACTCCAAATCATCAACCCAGTCCTCCTGAATAATCTTTCTGATTTTCCTCCCACCAAGTCTCTTGATGGTGCCTCCCATAAGGGCTGAGGGAGATACGTTTTTCGGTAATGGAATGCCAGCCCTCTCGGCGGCAGCTAGGGCGTCCAGCGTTGACTTTTCATCGTCGCCTGGCAGGTGGACCTGCCTTTCCTCCTCTCCATGGATGGATTCGAAATCTGACCTGAAGGACGAGTGAGAATCGCGGCGATGGGGATGAGCGTTGGCCGCGGTGGAGTGGCTGTGAATGGTGAAGTCGTCGCCCTCGATAAGGAAGTCGTCATCGTCCCAGTTTTCGATATCGTCTTCGACCGGTGGCCGAGTCTGTAGCCGTAAGGTCTCCATTGCCGGCGGTGTCGGCTGGTCCTGCAGGGCAAGGTCCACGCTGTGATGTGCGGTCAAAGGGTATTGGTGGTGGTATCGGGGGGGTGTCGCAACGGGAAGGCTCCTCTGGTGTAAATGGGGACGTTTTGCGACGTGGAGTGACGACAGCGATCTAGTCAGTGGTGAGGATTCATAGTCGTCACCCAAGACCCTGGGGCCCGCCGATCACTATCCCAAAGCCCTAGCGAGGATTCCACCTGGACCCCCTTTACACGAGCGATGCGACGGCCGAATCCTTGTTGATCCGAAGTTGGAATGCCTATCGGGTGATGTTCCAAGCAGCCGGGATGAGCAGAGTGATTAGCGTTGGCACGAGTGCGACCAGGGCGTTGGTGTCGGGATGCAGGGCGGGAACGGTGGATGAAGATGATGGAAAGGGCGAGGTTGGCGGGTCGTGGGCGTATGGGTTGTGTGAAATGTCGGTTCACGATGTGGGACTGGATCTTGTTTGTTTTGGTTGTTGGGGGCCTTGTTCAGTTCTGTTGTCGTTGCTGCTCAGGTGTGGCAAAGTTCAGATGGGACAAACAGGATCTGACAGAATGAGGGGCGAGCAAGAAGCAAGTTCCGTGAGCGAATTGGTAAAGTACCAGAATCGGGTAAATGTTGTATTATGGATAGACGGATGCGGCGCGTGTGTATGGATAACTGCCGTCGTAGGAAACCTTGGTCGAGTGGGCCAACGACTAATTGCGATGGATAACCTCTTGGAGAAATGCACGAATCTGCTGCTGTTTCTTTCCTAGTGTCGAAAGGGAGGAAATCCGTAGCGCGGTTCAGGTTCAACAGGTGGGTGGCAGGTTTGTGTAGGTAGCTGAGGTACAAGAGATTGTTGTTGGGTGGGCGCGGGATTGTGAAGAATGAAACTGAGGAATTGGTTGAGACAGAGAAACGGAAGGCTGGGGCATGCACGCAGACGGGACTGAATGAGTGGCACAATAGCGAGAGCGCCCAGTGCCCGCCGCCTGGACTGGAATGCCCGTCCTGAATTGAACGAACGAAATGAATGAAAGTGACTGAATGAATGAATGAATGAGTGAATGGCGTGGCTGGAAGAGTCAACGGGAGCAGGGAACCGCAGTCGTGCAGTCGGGATGGTCCAGGGTCTGTCGCGGTCGTGGTGGTCGTGAGATCGCAGTGGTCGAGAAGAAGCACGAGTGGTCGGGGAGTGGAGACTGGAGACCTGGATGGACTGGAGGGCCAGGGGAGTGGGGCATCGAAGGGGAAAAAAAGAGATGGAAGGTGGCCCTGAGCTGGCCTTGTGCCTGGCTGGTGCCCTGGATGCGCGTGGCTGCGTGGGTGGGTGACGCCGCCCAAGGTTTGGAACAGGCGCCGAAACGTCCAATGCGCGGAGCCAAGCTTTCCAAACCAAGGCAACCTCACTTGCCAGCCCAGGGTTAGTGCAGACAAGTGTACATGACACTAAGAGCTGAGAATTTAGCGCAGGGTTAGGTAGCGCAGGCCTCTGTAGGTAGCCTTTACACTACTGTAACAGGGCCTCTAACCACCTACGACCAAACAGCCGGCCTCCTGCAACCTAGGTAGGTACCCTGGGTGGGCAACCACGCACCGAAAAGGACCATAAAGTGCCAAGCGGACAAAGCATGCGCAGAACGGGGTTGGGTGGTAGGGTGGCTCGGGTGTGTTTTGGCTGGTTTGCAAGCGTGTTTGGTCCGTTTTGCATCGTGCATGGCATGGCATGGCCATGGCTTCTTTATTTTTTTTATTTATTTTTTTGAGGTGGCAGGGAGCGGGACCTTGCAAGGACAAGGGGCACGCTTCGATTGACAGACAGTGTTCGTGCGAAACGCTACCTAGCAGCCAATCTGTCAACCACCCAGCCGGCTCCGCGATCAATGTGGATGATGAGTGGTCACTCATCAGTGGTCAGTGCTCCTAATCGATGTCTCTTCAGTTTCTCGACCATCTCGCTGAGATGTATGGGAATTTACAAGTCGATACAAGCTGGACGAGCAATGCCCCAATGTCATGGATATATTTAGACTCAGCTGAGGTCCATTATTACACTACAGCCGGTGAGAACACACTACAACGTCAATGTCATTACCGTAACATATGACGACTGATGTACCTAATCTTCTTTTCTTTCCGGAGACTGTAATTAACAATCTCGTTACCTACTTATGTATGTAACTGGTACGTCAGGAACGCGAACTGAAATCGGGACCCCCGCACTGCCAGGTGCTTCTGCGTGTTGCCGGCCGGCCGCTAATGTGATTTCTTGCATGGCGCCCCCGATTGATTGCTGCTCTCAGTCTCCCCTCTTGTCCTCTTTTGGCAATTGGCTTGATTCTTCAACTGCACTTCCCTTGAAGTGTGATTGACGATGGCCGGGCATGTCTTGAAACTCTCATTCGCTGTGATATCCAGTCCAGGGCGACGAATGGCTTGGTGGCTAAGTTCTGTTTCTTACACTAGTAGTTTACCCTACAAAGGCACTGCTGCCTTGTTGGACTTCAACTGAACCGCACCAACAGAACCATGATCCAATCGATAGTCAATGGAGTTGTTTGGTGCTGTTGCCTACACTACAGAAAGACAGTTCACATATGATATTAATTTGTATTGTCCGTTGACCTCGCAAACACGCAACATCCTCCCTGTTTCGGCTGCGCACACCGGAACTGTTTCTTTCGAGACATCTTCTTGACGACATTTGGCACGGCAAACGGTGCTACCCGACCGTCATCAACGACTCGCTCCCGTCTAGCTGAGCCCCAGTCAAGTGTTTCCTTTCCAAGAACAGACAGCACTCAGCTTTAACACGCGCTCCCGTTCATTTCGTGCAGCTCAGCTGCCTGTTTCCACTTCCCCGCATCCTACCATTACTCGAGGATTGCTGGGTACGGGCCGTCAGTGCAGAGTGCCGCAGGCTGGAGTGCCAACCGCCCTCCGTTTCTGTCGCTCACCGTCAACACCATCACACCTCGCTTCGTGACGTCCGACTCCGTTACGATCGCCACCATCCGCTCCCCAAGTCAAAGGGTTTCAAACGGTGGCTTATACCTACAGTAGTGCTGTACTCTTCTGAGACCATTACGTGCATTCACAAGCGCAAAACTCCCATCAGCTCTTGTTTCATCTGAGCTTGGTTGACCATCCGCTTGTGCTCGTCCAAATTGGGTTGATTAATCCACTCATAGGGCAGAACCTGGACGGGAGCCCCAACGACCATCGGACCAAGGCGGCGGCAACGCGGATCGCGGATCGTGACGTTGGCACACACGCAGCCTGCATCACGAAACGGCGATCCCGTCTTTGCCCCCAAAATACCATCATCTCCATCCCACTTTTTTCACATTATCACAACAAGTCTCACTCAAAACACTTTATTGTGCAAGCCACGCAAGGATGACTTCATCTTCATCCACGATTATCCGTATCCCCCGGACCGATACCGATCAGGAGGATGACTGCATCCTGGGCGAGGTGGTCCACTCGGGAGGGTCATCCGCGAGGGGATTGAAACCGCTGAATCTCAGAATAATTGCTACGGAGGGTGAAGAACCGTATGCGCTCACGCGTAAGTCCCCCGGAATCTTGTCGTTATTTTTGCTGCTTTATTCCAAGGCCTTTATGCGCCCATTATCTCCGCGGCATGGCATTATGCAGGGGCATTTACCCTGCTATGCTCATGTCGGTGCATCACCTCAAGCAGTCACCACCAAGCCGTGATGCGTGCCATCTGTTATAGTGACACTTGTAAAAGAAACAAACCTCGGTTAAGGGGAAATTACATGATCCGGGCCCGTCGACTAACTAACACATACACCTGCAGTAAAACATGACCACATTAACGACCTCCGCGCCAGCAGCTCCGCCTGCTCCCCCACAGAATGGCAATCCATCCTATCCTCCCTCTTCATAACCGCCTCGCCAGTAGAAGGCATCGAAGCCGGTGCCCAAGTAGAAACCCGGGGCAAGAAAAAGTCCATCACCATCACCATCCGTCGCCGCGTAGCCGGCATCAACCAACGACTTGGTGCCCTAACCCTCGTTCACTCCCCTTCCTCCGAGATCCAGCTCTTCGACTGGTGTTCGCAACTCGCCATCTCCCGTCAAACCGCACTCACTTCCCTGTCCACCTCCGCCGCGCAGGTCGCGTATCTCAAGGCCCGTGTGGCTGACCTGAAGAAGCAGTTGGAGGAACTCACGCAGTCCAAGGTTGAGCAGGAGACCGAGCTGTTGCAGAAGTTCAGGGCGCTGCTTAATGAGAAGAAGGCCAAGATTCGTCAGCAGCAGCAGGCTTTGAGCAGTAGAGCAAGACCAAGGTCAGGTTCGCGAGAGAGGTTGTCGGGGATGATTGAGAGTGCGAGGAGTAAGTCCAAAGTTAACGTAACGGAAAGTCAATTGAATGAGGAGAATGAGGAAGAAGAGGGTGGTGCCAAGATCGGCAGGATAGGAGCAGGAGGACGCGGAACAGGATCAGCGAAAGCAAGGACAAACACAAGAACCGCCCGTGTCTCTAGACCAGGAAAACGAAAGGCTGCAAAGGACGTACCATCATCAGACGATGACGACGATGACGACCACGCAAAATTCGAAAGGATGGATGTCGACGAGCCGGTACCTGAGCTAGAATCAGAGCCGGAACCTTCATCAAAGACGGCCACCATGGGACAATCATCCTCTAGCAAGACCCTCGACCATGAGGACGTCACTGATAACGACGAGGACGAAGATGAGGTCCTCAATAAGACATCTGACCGCAATACCCCAGACCACGACGATGACGAAACAGCCAGTGAGCCCGATGAGGAGGATGGGACTGTAGAAGCCGGGGAGAAGGATCTTGATGTGCCGCCTCCTTCACCGCCGCCTGCTAGACGACAACGCACGGCAGCGGCATCCTCGACAACGACGACAACCCCTCGGAAAAAGACGACGGCTGCTGTTGTAGAAAAAGGAAAGGGAAAGGAGACGCCAACGCCCATTTCTCATACAAAGAGGGCGGGGGCGACGGCTACGAGAGCGTCTCAACCTGCTGCTGCTGCTGCAGTGGATGAGGGGAGTGAGACGGAGTCTGATGATGAGTTGTGAGCGGACGGTGTACGTTGAACGCGAGTTGGGGGAGCGTGATATAACGATGGATGATAATTAGACATGTCTTTGATGAGAGGTGTCGATGACTGAATCCTACAGTGGCAATCCATGTCCAGTAAAGTTGATGTTTGCAAAACAAAAGCTGTTTTATGGGTATTAGCACTGCATGTCAGACTCTATGTGTATATATAGTTTTCCAAGCCTTTTTGTCCGCTTTCGGTAGACATCCCACGGGCAATCTTGTGGCTTTACCACCTCCCAGTCTCTAACCAGCCTCCTGACTGACTGCTTCCCCGGCCAGGGACAAAACAACATCCACCATCAGTTACTTCTTCACTCTATTCCATAACTCGCTGAAGACTTATTTCAGCATCGTCCCTTTCCCATTCGCTTGCCCTCCTCCGGAAGCAGCTGCAGCCTTTGAAGGCAGCACAGGTAACCTCTTCCCATAGTTCCCCAACGCCAACTTGGTCCCGCACGTCAAACACTCCCCACCCTCGGGCACCTCGCAAAAGATGCTCAAGCAGATACTGCACACAAACCCCGTATCAATCACGTTCCGATGACAGAAACACGCCGCCCGGAAATCCACCGAGTCCGCACTAGGCGTGACCAAGAGATCCGCCACGCTGGCATTACTCCCCAGGAACTTCTGGCCTCCATGCTTGGCCCCTCCCTTAGCCGCGGCGCCAACGGCCTTCTCGCTCGCCTTGTCCTCTTTCCCCTTATTTCCTCCATGCTGCTGCTGAGACCGCTGGTTCCCCGCCGCCGCCAACCCCTGTGGCGCGCTCCCGCTTCCAAACCCAAACATCAAGTACTGCAACAGTCCCCTCGGCTCCTGCGCCCGTATAAACGTGCCGCGCGTGATGTAGCTCGCCTGCTGCAAGAAGGTTGCACTACCCCGCAGCGCCAGCGTGTCGATAGCGATGCGCGCGTGCGCCGCCGCGAACACGGCGTTCATGGTCGGGATGTACTGCGAGGGGGAGCTGTCGCTTACGCTGACCACCAGGATGCGGGCGTGCAGGCCTGCGAGACCGCCACCGCCGATGCCAGGGAGGGAGGCTGCGTTGCCGCCGCCTGGGCCGGCGCCGGAGGTTGTGGAGACGGAGGACTTGCCGCCTGCGGAGGAGGGAGTTGGACCGGTGGTGGAGTTGGAGGGGGCGAAGAGGAGGGCGGTTTTGTTGATGTGCGCGAGGGCGAGGGTCAGGGCGCCGGAAATCTGGGTGGTGGTTGTAGAGGTGATGTCCTCGGCTGTGGTGTCGGTTATGAGAGATCGCAGGGAGGAGAGGAGGGAGCGCTCGATTTGGGCGAAGAGGGGGTATTTGTTTGCGGGCGGTGGAGATTGTTGTTTACTTGTGAAGGAGGCGTCGCGCATTTCGACGTCTTCGTTTGGATTTTGCGGTTGTCGGCCGGGGTTCTGGTCGGGTGCTGTTGGGTAGAGCCACACTGCCCGGTTCGTATGTGATGCTATGAGAGCTACTTGGTTGGAGTTATTGAAGGCTAAGTGGGAGTTGACAAATATTAGAATGTTGGCGAGCGCTTTCGTGAGTGGAAGGACATCGTTCAGGGCGGCCCAGGCGCGTGGGTTGGTGTCGATGATTATGGTATAAAGGGAGGGGATATCATCGGTGTTGTAGATTTCGTAGTGTTCGGAGGCGTCGACGGCGTCCTGGACCGTCATCTTGACGATGATCTGGCAGGGACAGCCTCAACTCGCTTCGGGGTTGTGTGTGTTGTAGAGCTATAGCGTGGATCGAAGGCAGTTGGTGTACATGACGTAGGCCTTTTGTCGCCGCGATACTCGGTGCGCTGGTGCTCGTAGGAAGCTCGTCTAGATGCTGGATGGAGAGATGGCAGGATAGCTAAGCGGGCGCTCTGTTGTGTGGTATTCGTTATAGTTGTTGTCTGGATTGGTTATGTCTGCTGAATAGGATTGACGCGCGCAAGAGGACTTTCTCGTCGAGAACACTGCAGATGCGATAACGTAACGGAGAAATGCGATAACGGTTTTGGGGTTGCAAGCGAAACGCGATACAAGTGAAGGCCAAAGGATCCTGGTCCAAGTGCACACGCTACCACGTGATACCCGATAATGCAGATTACCGGCATTTTCCTTGGTGGTCAAGAGATATGCAGTTAAAGCATCAACATGCAGTTCAACATACAGTTTTAGTCCAACTCTCGCTTTCCTATTGGTTAGAATATCCTAACTCTTCTATGTACAATGATATCACCTTCATCCGAACATGTCCTTCATCTTTCATCTTATTCTTCTCTTCCTGCTGTGTCCGATTTCGTTCAACGACCCCAGCATTACCACCAAAACAGCCGGGTGATGAACACGCAAGCGTGCATAACTTTCGACACCAACAGCGAGGGCATCTCTTCCTTTTGATCCATCCGCACCGTCACATGTTCCCTTTTCGGTTTCTTCACATATCGAACGAGGATTTCCTTGAGAAGGATGGCGCAAGACATTCAATCGAGAGTGGCTTAGAGTCACCAGCTGTGCAATTCAAGGTGTCCTCGGTCTGCCCAAGTCGAAAATCGGACTTTTTTTGGGTTAGGGGTTACCCCGGTGACGACAGCTTTACGTTGAAGGCATATGGCTAAGATTATCATCGGTAGGTATTGTGAGGTTTTGAGGAAGAGAAGTACAAGTATCTAAGGAAGGGGCAGCCAGGTAGGTATGATATAGACAAGACTGAAGCTCAATTTCAATATTATCCTTTCCATGCCCGCTCTCTGAATATGTATCTCCCTTGATTACTCCCGATTATCTACCTCTAGCACTGCAGTCACCACTGAATATTCCCCTATGGTAAGTTGTTCAACTTCCCGATTTATGACACCCTTCACTCATAGTAGACACAGGTATCTTTCAAAACCGGCGACATTATAACCCCGGCAGCTCTTCCACATCAAAGAACGGAAAAGCGAACTTGTCTTCCGAGACGATAACTTACCTTCCAGAACGACGACAACTTAGTTCTTCATGAATACGCCGAGCCCAGGTGGAACTCAGGCGGTCGTCTCTCTACAGAAAAAGTGGAGGCTGGCTTGTTTCGACCAGTAACGGCAATATGACAATCAGTCTTCCCGGTGGTCATCTCGAGCAAGATGCCGACGCACCGGAGGAGACTATGAATCGATAGTCCAAGATGACGGTGCCGCGGTGCCGAAGGTCGATGGAGTCACCCCCTGGACCGGCGTCAATGGAGGCTCGGCACAAACATAGGAACCCTACTGCTTTTCCCAGAAACAATAGTTCGACAACCGCGCATCCGCCTACATCCGCGCGGTCGACCTCAGCTACCGCGCCGACTACGTCGCCTGGTGGATCGCCGAGGAATCGGACGACAGCCAGGGGTCGGCGACCCGGGGGGGATATCACGTGGCGGGCCAAGGGTGCGTCAAGTTCGAATTCGGTGTGGATCACGGCCGTTGGAAATCTGTGCGTGGGCGTGGAGGAGAAGCAGAAGGTGACTACCTACTTACGTGGCAGAGTGAGATGGGGGGGGCAGGGAGCAGGTTGGTTCAGGAAGCTGGGGATATGTGCCCTTAAGCCGGGGGGAAGTGTGCGTGACAATGTGATACGGCGGCCCGGTGGGTGGTGGAGGGATTATCATGACTAGGGGGGAAATTAGATGATGTCGTTTATGTGGGGTAAAAGATGGGTTGGACAATGCGAAGGTGCAACTGCCACTGCAGTCTACTAACGTTCAATCTTGCACTTTTTCCAAAGATTTGCAAGAGCAATCAGTCGACCATGAGCAGTGTTCCTCCGCTCGAATCTTGACACCGCACCGTACCTGCCCTAGCGAGAGTCCGTCAGAACCCTTGGGGAAGCCCACGGACCACTTCAAGTTGTGCTTTGCCGCCAGAAACACCAAGACGACTGCCCGATACCAAACCACCATTTCGATGTTACACCAACGAGGAGGCCAGCTCAAATGATCTTTTGCTACAACGTTTTTGAATGTCCTCGTTATTGCTCAGGGGTAGTAAACAAAGCTCGTAAACTGACCCTAACCCTGGTGCTTACCACGATGCAGTACACTACAATACAGCGTCCGGAGCCAGGATTGGACAGAATATCATTCGATTTCACCATTGCAAGTCGGGCCCCGAGGCGTTTCTTACTAATGATTCGGATTCTCCAACCTTCCCGTATTCCTTCCTTGCTAGTTGACACCAGCACTCTCACTAACGCGGTGTCGCCGTTCCTTCTCATCCCTCAATGAGTACAATCGAGTCACGATGAGATAATGCTTACGCAAAAAAGCCCGAAATAAGGAAAGAGGGCATCCAGCCAGATGAAACGCGGGAAATTGGAAGGACAGATTCAAGGTAACGGATCGCTCACTGTATTCCTTCCTTCTTAAAATGCTGCTGTGTACCTCTACCAAATGAACCCTTTTGATCCCGCCAGTTCTTTTTCTCTATTTCCCTTTTGCCTTTCCTCCGTCTTGCACTCAGTCTCTTTCCTCCTTCTATTCTTACATTCAACTTCCCGACTCTATCCCCATCCCGCTTTGCCTCCTTCCCTTTCCCGTCTCAAGTCCGCCATACACCCGTCTCTCTCTCTCTCTCTTTCTCTCCATGTCCCGTCCCCGTCAGAGCATCTCCCATTCATCAGGGCCCGGGCCCCATCTTCCAATTCACGACCTCAAGGTTCATCATAAACCCTGAATCTCTCAGTACTTGAAACCACACCCCGAGCGACAAAACTCCGGCCCAACATTCCCGTCATTCTGATCCTGGTCCTCATTGGCGCTGTTCGCGTTGTTCTTTACAATGGTCTTGTGTCCGTCGCGACACCAGGCGCAGAGGCTCTGGCCGGCTGGCGCGGTGGAGGTGCAGCCGCACGAGTTGCCGGAGGTCTTGTGAGCGCAGTCGGGCATTTTGGCGGGTGGCGTTTTTTGGGTTATAGCTGTTGGGAGTTGTGGCGTTCTTTGTTCTTCTTCTTTTCGGTTTTGGTTGATGGCTGGAAATGTGCTCGAACTGTGCTCGAACTGTGCTGGTCTTGTCGCTGTCGCAGTTTGCTGCTTATGTAGATGCGATGTTGCTGTTGTGCTTGCTTGATTGATGTGATGCCGGTGATACTGGAGCTAAAATTGGAAAAAGAAAATAACCAAGGGTGTCGATAGGGCGCAGCTATATAGCCGAGGTTGATGTTTCTCGTGATGGCAAAAAGAGAGGCTACAGACTGATCATGTCTGTTTGATGGTCGTTCATGAAGTCATGAGGGGTGATGCATTATCCTCACTTTCTTTGCAAGTGAAGCAAAAGTCGAAGTTGCCAAACAAGTAGAGGTAACCTCAAGTTATGTTTGGTAGTGGGGCCTGGAAAACAAATGCAAAATGAGCGTTAAGCGCTAGATGAGAAAGGCCAATCTCGGCTACCAAAGCAATGGAGATCTTCGGATTGTTTGCCGGATGCCGGTGATCGTGGACATTCGGTAAGGACGGAAATTTATGGGACGGTGGGACGGAAGTCATCACCAGTTATGGATTCGGAAATTTTTGCCCATGATCATTCTATTTATTCACACTAAATATGCCTGATGGAGATTGTGTTTTCCATCTTGGGTGGCAGTGAGCGGCTCGGCTCGGTACCGAGATGTTGGCCCACGACTAGACGTTGGGACTTGGGATATAAAATGCCATCCGGTTTGGGCTGCCATTGATGGAGCGTTGGTACATTTAGACCTGCAAAAGCATAACATGACGTAAGGTCGTACTCATTTACCAGTGGAAGGATGGTTGAACTCATGGGCTCTCCTCGTTTGGGTGATTTTGGCTTGGAAGAATTGCTGTATTCTTGTGTCAAGCGATTCATGAATGAGAAGAAGAGTGACCACTCAAAGTCCCACGCTCCCACGATACCCAGATCACGCAAAAAAAAAAAAAAAAAAAAAAAAAAAAAAAAAAAAATTACCGTCAATCCCATACATATCGTGGTCACGACCCTCATCACATCGTGTAGCCTTCTCTTTTCCCGCTGACCTGAGTTGTTAGTTCCGTCTGGAAATATGCCCGTAATGTGTTCCCACTTCCGAGTCCTACTGTGTACAGATATGAGTCGATACCCTTACCAAGTCCGTCCCAAAGCATACACTACTACAAACTATCACTGGAACAGACAAATAAGACCAGAAAACAAACAAGAAAGAAATGCAAACCCTGCAACAGAAACTCCTGCACGTTGAAAAGCGCCAGTGGGAAGCAAACCTTTAAGCAAACCCAGTCAGATATATCCCTATTGGTGTTTCATAAAGAATTGAGAAGCACGATCCCCCAGTCTCTCGCCTCAGTAGGTGCTCTGTCCGGGCATCTAGTCCCGATGGTCATTGTGTCCATGAATCTCGGGAAGAAGCTGGGCGGCAAGCTGAGCGTCGACAGAGTTACTGCTCACACAACAGATTGTTAGCTACCACAAGTATCCTGTACATAGGGGCGTTTTCATCCCTACTCTTCATCATCATCATCATCGTCATCATCATTCCCAGCTGATAGCTGACCGCTCTGCGACCCTTCCACTGCGTCATGGTCTTGTAACTCGTGGCCAAGTCCTTGGAGGTCCTCAGTTCCCTCCATATCCGCCTCCGGGGCCGCCATCCTCACGCCTAATTGCAAGGACGTATACTGGGCATTCTGGTGAGCCATCTCCGTCTGGTCTGGGGCAACATTCTGCTGACCAGCACCAACACCAGAAGTCCCGTTGGTAGTAGTAGTGTTCTCCTCAGGATTCGGTCCAGCAGAAAGGGCCTTGGCCTTGCGCTTCCGGTTGGGGGTAGGGCCCGTATACAGCGAACAGGCTGACGTGTTGTCGAACCACTTGCAGTTCGAACAGCTGTTATGGAAGCTCCCGGGCAAGATCCGACAGACTATGAAGGGACCCAGGGCATTTTTGGTGCGGCGATCAGCACATTGGGTGCACTGCACCGGGGCATCTGTGCCGCGTGAGTGGATGAGCAGACCGTTGACGTAACTGGGCCGCTGAGAGGCAATGTGGCGGGCCGTGATCCATCCGTTGACAAAGTAGATGTATTCGCGACTGGGACAGTCGTTGAAGATGGCCCGTTGCGTATCGTGAACAAGAGAGTCTGCAGTCAGGGCGTCTTTAACGCGGATGGCGACAGCCGCCAGGGGTTGCTCCTCTTTGGCCGCGTTCCATGCCTTGACCAGCGGGTTCTCCTGGTAATCATCCTCCTTGACTGTCCTGTTTGGGCGACCGGGAGGACGGCCGCGGCGTCTCTTGGGAAAGGCCGCAGGAAGCTCTCCTCTTCCGCCCTGGGTGACATCTCCACCCTCTCCCTGGACAGCAGCTAACGGCACCGGGGTGCCCGTCTCCGCACCCGTCACTGGAGAAGCGATGGTGTGTGTGTCCGTGTTGGGATTGCCGGGCACGTCCGACGCGAGAGCATGGTGCTCGGGTTGCGCTCCGACCTCCACTACGCCGGCTCCCGAGTCTGCCATGGACGTGATGTCGAGAAGGGTATTGGAGGATGGATTCGATGATGAAGTGAAGGAGGACCAATTGGAAGTGAGCGGCCTACAAGAAAGGTGGTGCTGGCGTCACGCCCGGAGGCTTTATTTTGTACGGGGTACACACAGTACAAAAAAGCGAGGATGTTTTGACTGCTGTGTTCATTGCTTCCCCAGTGCACGGGCCATCCTCAACGGGCATTCTTCTTGGCAGGAGAGCCTAGACTACGATAGGCCTGACCCCCCCGGGCAGATGCGTAATGGGGCGCTCCTCATGCTGTTGCTGCAACCTGTAACTGCCTTATGAAACCCCCGCTGATGTTCCTGCAACAACTGAACCGCCAACTTTTACCTTAACCACCTACCGACCTCACCTCACTCCTTGACAAGACAAGACGTCCATCCATCAACATCACGGTCATGTCCTTTCGTTCAGCTGTTCCTTTGTTCTGTATTTGACCTTCGTATACCCTGTGCCTGTTGTTCATTGCATTGGCGGCTTGCTGTTTCGGGGACCTACCACAACACCTCAGTCGGTCGTCTGATTCACGATAAGATACCTCTATTTAGCGTGCTTAACCTCGGAGTCTCAAAGCCCGCAAACAAGTCACCGCCAACAATCATCATGTCGAATCCCAATGCCCTCCTCCTTCTCGCTGACCACATCAAGCTGTCGCTTCTTGAACGGCAAAGGGCAAAGACGTTGAAGCTGTCGAGCGACACCCAAGATGGCCACATTTCCCGATCACTTGACCAGTTTCGTGAGGGTCTTGAATCTCTCCGAGCCGAGCATCAGCGTCTCCATGAAGCCGGCGACGAAGCGTATGCTCGGTCCTCTCCCACTTCTTGACAATGGCAGTCGCTAAAATGAACACACCCATTCAGAAAGGCCTCCGCGCTGAGCGATACGCTCTCGTCGCTCCAAAAACAGTTTGACGACCTCACCTCCCAATTCCACGGCTACGCTTCGCCTGCTACCACCTCAACACTCACCCAACCCAACGACCCTTCTCTCGCCCAAGACTTTGCCCATGCCCAATCCTCGAAACCCATAGCCGCGTCCACGACGACTCCCCCGCCCATACAGCGTCGTGCCTCCAAGACTGTCCGTTTCTCGTCACCCAACAGTGACCTCGAAGCCCAAGCCTCTGCCGCCAACAAGTCTGCTCGCTCCCAGCTATTTCCATACCGCGATGACCCCGTCTTGGATGACGACTCGGCCGGCTATCGCGACACCATCGATGGGCAAGATATGGACAATACTCAGATACACGCCTATCATCAGCGGATTCTGGAAGAGCAGGACGCCCAACTTGACGCTCTGGGAGCTAGCATCTCACGGCAACGCGAGCTGAGTATGCAAATTGGCGATGAGTTGGATAATCAGGTCACCATGCTGGATGAGAGCGAACGGGCGGTGGATAGGCATCAAAATGCCTTGGATCGAGCAAGAGATCGGGTGGGCCGTTTTGCGAGGGCAGCAAACAACAGCGGAGAGGGAAAGCAGATGGGCATCATCCTGGCACTGATCATCATTTTGGTGCTTCTGATCATTATACTCAAGTGAGTATATGGGGCGAGTCTAAATGGAACTGCCCCAGACACATTTGCTTCGGTGAACACATTGTTACAAGTTTGTCAGGCAAGTGTTTCCTCAACAGGCCAACATGAGAAGAACATCAACGGCAGGCTTTGGAGGACCTCTCATTCACATTCTCATCCTTTTCTTTGAACTTGTGTTTGTTGGACTGGGTACAATCATGGATATTTGAATTTCACATTGGCGTGAGGCATCGCATCAGGTACAACGGTCGCTTATACAGCAAGCGCTTTGTGGTACAGGATGTCATTCAATCTTTTTTCGAATTCGGAATAAAATACACACACCACTGGGTCGACACGTGTTTGTGTTTGAATCGGAATGACTTTGTCACAACAGGGCTGCTCACTGACACCGGACTACCTAATTCATCGCCGACGCCCGACTCTAAAGGAGACATAGACGGTCTAGAACTATGGCAAGGAGACGACACCTTGTCATGTCGGCCGCCTCCCAACAACGACCCAATCCTCCCTCGAACTTGCAACTTATTTTACTCATGGAACGACCTGGACTCTACACTACGATATCGGTTCTGGAAACAGTAGCCCTACCTACAGGGATTGTCCGGTAGTAACCATGTCATACTCGCCATCTTCCACTCGTTCGCTCATAGGCACTGCTTCAGGCCGACGGATTCAACAAAGGGGATTGTAGTATAGTGGTCAGTACTTCTCGTTGTGGTTTCTCACAGCGATCCGAGAGGACCCAGGTTCGATTCCTGGCAATCCCATGTTTTTGGCGCCCTTCGGTTAACCATGCCTCATGAAACTTTTTTGGTGTTTTCGGCATGACTTTGATTGAATTATGTTTGGTGTCAGTTTTCCATGCCCTTTTTTTTTTCTCGTTTTGATTTTCGCTTTAGCAAGTGGTGGGTTTTTACTAACACTGTCTTGAAATAGTTGTCTTGTTGGATTCGCCGTCATTGCAGTCGGAAAGCTAAGGGTAAATCCGCTTTCATGCTACCACCTTCGAACAATCAAGGAATGGAATATGTTGCCAGTCTACAAATGCCTACATCCCCCGCCGCACCATAGACCGTAATCAACCATGAATATCTTGCACTCGGCAGTTATTTATTAAATAAGCCACACACCTCTTAGACCCATTCAAACCGAGCTGCAACCCTAGACGGCGCATCATGTTTCCATGTGCTATGCTGCGATGTTGGTCCTTAATGTCAATAATTCCTCTAATTCCTTCATCAAGGCAAGATGGCCGAGCGGTCTAAGGCGCCACGTTAAGGTTAACCCTTAATCTCCTCTCAGAGTTCCGTGGTCCGAAAGGGCGTGGGTTCGAATCCCACTCTTGTCAGAGGTTCCTATCGTCACCGAGTATCGGTGGTGATGTTTCATTTTTCTTTCGTCTTTCAGAACTTTCTTTTTCAATGTATTTTTTTGGTTATATTTGGCTGACACTGGGTGTTAAGGTGAATGATTATTCCTCCGACACCTTCTTGAGACCAAGAGTATCAATCCGCTCTTTGTATTCCTAGCTCTATAGATAATAACCAATATAACATTTTTGAGCTGACAGTAATGGGAACTGGGTGGCCGAAATGGCTGAAAGTCAGTGTTGAGCAGAAAGCTTTTGTTCGTATGTGCGAAGTTGCGAACACAAGCTTGAAGTTCAGTTCCTCTGCTCAACCACTGCATCGACATAAACAAGTCTTCTACAGTTACGTATCAACGTCTGACCGGTCATATCGAGGACACGAAGCATGTCTTGAATACAAAAAGAATGCGCCGAAAAGAACACCAAGAGACCTCGATTTCAAAACACCAATAGAAAAGTCATGATGGTCCAGGTAGCGCCAAAAAAGTGGGATTGCCAGGAATCGAACCTGGGTCCTCTCGGATCGCTGTGAGAAACCACAACGAGAAGTACTGACCACTATACTACAATCCCTGTGACTGAATGATTTGTATGAAAGTAAGCATCAAGAGAGCATATGCGTGAAAGGGCATGGTGATGCGGGAAATCCGAAAAGAGTTATCCCTCCATCCATCAACTCCAGGCACCTTTGAGGTAATGCAGTTTCTCTCTGCTTTTAGACATGATGGATTACTCGCTTTGTTTGCAATACTGTTTGTAATCCGGCTAAAAAGGTAATAGTGTCTTATCCTGCTTGTATTTTATCACCTGTTATCTTTCTCGTCCCTCGCTCAGATGTGAAATTCTGAAAAGCTGAATTTCTCAGTCAATTCTTGACTGCTGCGGGTTGCAGGAGTGATGTAATGGCTGATAACGTTCTAACTAATGCCGTCCATGTGGGAGCATGTGCTCCATTCTTTCTGCATGCAAACTGTAGTGCGCTGAATGAAGCCACCATCGACGCCGTCACCAGAAGAGATCTCAGGAGATCCAAACCATAAAACCCCAACCCCCCTACCCGCCATAACGTTATTCGCCGGTCTTTGCCAGATTACCTCTAGCAGCCTTACTTAATGTATGGCGGGCTTGTGGGTTAGCACTGTGGAAAGGAGGCCCTTTAGCCAAGCCTCCCTCGAATTCGGGGATTTGGACCGAAGTGGAAAGTCAAGAGAATGTAAGTTTATTAGTAGTGCTGATACCTATAAGCTCATGCTGGCGTTCTGAAAGATAGAAGTCACTTTCCATCCTCAGATTTCTTTTCCCTAAGTGAGGAAGAATGCAAGTCTGTCTCTCCAGAGAAGCCGGAGAGGTGGACGATCTGTCATGAGTTGGTTGATCCGAAGCCCCCGGCCAATGGTGATGATGAGGGAAGGATGTTTAGAACGCACTTATCCGACGTTGTTGTCTTTTCGGACGCGGTGAAGGTGTCAGGGACGGGGGTTGGTACAACCGGGTCGACGACCGGGAGTGCTATATTTGAGGTTGTCGACTACCCGGAGATTGGTGAGAAACTGAGGAAGGAGTTAATGGACGCTTTTTTGGAGGTGAGCAAGAGAACTTGCCGTATTTGGCGGGTACTATTAAGGAGGCGTTGAGGCATGTTAACTTTTACCCCTGAACAGCCTCTGCTGCGCCACTTTCCTGGATTTAACCATGACAGCTTCCCTTCCATCACTAACCCCCATGGCCTGTTCAAATGACACTCTTCTTCACAACCCAAACCCAAAACAATCAAATCGACCCAGACTGAGCCACCTCCTCCCAAAGAGCTCCATTGTCCATGTTCGCCTGGCTGATGTACCGTAGCCCCATGGCACTCAGTTATTTTCGTGCGGGAGGAGGAGACCCAGCAGTGTTTGACTCTGACCCAAAGCGATGGATATCTCGTACGGGTACCCCCGAAGAGGAAGAAAGATTCCGTATGCAGGACCGTTGCAGGGTACCTTGTGGCAAAGGAAGTAGAAATTGCTCGGGCCAGGCGCTGGCGACGGCGGAGCTGTACTCAACCATTGGCAACATCTTTTGGCGCGATTTGATATTTTGGTGGTGGAGGGGGAAGTGACTAGGGAGGACTTGGGGCTAATGGAGTTGTTCGTGAGGTACCATCCTAGGGGGGCAAGGAAGTTGAGGATCTCGAGGGGGAAACCCGTGTAAGGGGTAGTGCTGGGTTAGATGGTGTAGAAGATGAAACCATTCTAGCTATGACAAGAACTTAGTTGAACCAAGGAATTTATTGACCTTGACCGGCATTACACATGTGATCGGCAGGTATGTTTGGATATGTGTGGTGAGAGTAGACCATCTCGTTGTCGAAATGCAAGGCGCTTGGGAAAGAGCAGTAGTGTTCAAATTGATTGACCATCAGGAGGAGGTTGAGCAGAGGAGGGAGTGATTGATATGGCTATTCGAGGGACCCAAGGATATATCAGGCCGACGATATCAAAAAAGTGTGATCTCTCTCAATAGCATCTAGACTTGAATTGCAATCCAGCCCTTGTCGTAGGGTATATGTATTACTTCTCCCGAGGTGACTTTCGTGGCAAGCTGGTAGGTTGGTGCAGCGGGCACGTTTGTGTGACCCCCCTCCTTCCTCCTGTTCCCCCGGCTCTCATGTACGCTACGCGTTCGAACCCGGTAGCTGTAAGTCCACACTTTTTCTCTTTTTTTTTGAAAAAAAATTTTTAAATTTTTTTTTCTTTTTTCTTTTCGCACATCCTCAGCTTGTTATGATTGCTCACTTGCAAGTTCTAGAGTAGTGAGTGTAAGGCGGGTGAACAGTGTCTGACCGAGCCTCGAAGAAGAGAAACCGAACCGAGATAGTGTCCTGGAGTAGATTGCGCTTTGTTTTGTTTGTCATGAAAGTAATCCAACGTCACCCAAACTCACTTGGGTTCATCATGTCACTCGACGTTTTTTTTTTTCCAAAAATCTCCCTGGCTGATTTACATGCTGTAAATAAAACCAGCCGGAAAGAGCTTTTTGGCTATCCCCGGTCATTTTGCTGTTTTTGAGTCCAGGAGTTGTCCGCCTCAACTTGCCCTCCTCTGCCAAAACAAACACTAACCCCAACATCACAAGCCGTGAACGCCGGCACTACCATGTACACACTCTTAGTGTCGAATTGAATCTTCGTTTGAGCCGCAAACACTTCCGTTACACACGCCAGCCTTCTCTTTTCCCGATTCAGGTAGTAATGGAGGTAGAACTCTTCTTCCCAGTAGTGCACACGCAAGAGTGTTTGGTGTGCTGGCAGTAGGCCTCTCCCGCGCCAAGACTTGCGTGCCTCATGATTGAACAGGATTTATAGGCGACCACTCTCTCACTAGCCGTTTGTTCGCCCATAATCATCCTCGGAGCAATCAGCTTTTGGGATCCCAGAGGCATGCCTCTGCGTTGACTGCCTCCATGTGGATGGAGATAAGCTCCCAAATCTCCCCCACACATGGCTGTTGGGCATGAAAGGACCACGATGTCTCCTGGTCAGCCTCAGAATCAAACGGACGGCCGGGCCTCAAGCGGCAAGTAACCCTTCTCCTGCAACGGAGAGTATGTCGAGAACCGCGTACTTCGTTTCTTCATGGCGCGGAATGGAAGACGGCCGAAGGAAAAGAGAGGGTGAAATGTTGTGAAAGATGAGACGATGAATGGGTATATTAACCTCGATCCCCTTCTTGGATGTCCAGTTTATTCTTGCCAGTAAAGCACTTTGGCCTTGCCAAGGAGATACTATTCGCACAGCCTCTCGATCTCTCATTCTGCGACAACCACAGCCAAAATGCTGATAGCCCTTCTCGCCCTTTTCTCCCTCCTCATAGCCTACGTGCTCCACCATGTCCTCTCCCACCAAACTCTCTTGTTGCAACGAATCTTCGCCCAAACCATCTACAATACCCTCCAGCTCGCCCGTCTTATTGGTCCTCTCGACCCTTATGACCCCCTGGCTGTCCCCGACCCAATTCCCGACTCAAACTCCGCCTCAAAAATATCTGAAGCCGAAGCACTAGCCGCTCAGCGCATCGACTACGCCCGCTCCATTGTTGACTTCTCATATGCCGGACCCAAGGTAGAGTTGGAAGACCGCCTTCGTCTCCGCGCCCTAGCCAATTCCCGTCTGGTTGCGGCATTTGGGATCAACACGTCGCTTACCAGTTCGTCGGTCTCTGTCCACAAGAAGTTCCGCAAATTGGCCAGTGCATCGATCAACAAGAGCAGAGCTGATTGGCAGAAGCTTTATGGAGTTTGCATGGATTTCCTTCAGTGTGAAAAAGCGCGGTATGGAAGGACTGGCATTGGCTTGGCCGAGTGTGTCCGATGTCTCTGCTTTGTTGTCGTCTTGGTTTCGCAGTTTGGGGCGGACGACAAGAAGGTTGATAAGAACTTGGTGAAGCGAATAACTGATGAAATCAATGCGCAGTGGTTGAAGAGCAAGGAAGATGGCGGGGCGGTAAAGACCTCTGACTCTTTAAACCATGATTTGGGTATGCTCTTTGGCACCCTGAAGACGTCAGTCGCTGAAGAGAACGGTACGGGAAAAGATACTTCTATCGACCCAAGTGAAGCACTTGGGTTAATCATGCCACAATACGAGACACTGTGGCGGGTTGTCCTGCTTACCTACGTCACTGCGTATTATACGCAGTTTGATAAGCGGAGTTTGAAGAAGAGAGTCAAAGACATTCCATATTGTTTGGGAAACGCTGCTACGGAGAAAGAGGCACTCAAGTTAGCAATGGTACGTCCCCAGTTCAGAACTTGATTAGGTGCTCGTCACTAACACTTGCCTATGTTCCAGGAGGGCCTTCGTCTATATCCGTCCAACAACAGCATCTATCGTGCCGCCACTGGCCCTGGACCTCTAAAATCAGCAGACGTTCAAGCATGCCATCGTGACTTCAATGTTTGGGGTCGTGACGCTCTTGAGTTCCGACCAGAGCGGTTTGACAATCTCACACCTCTCCAGGAAAAAGCCTACTTCCCTTTCTCTCTGGGCTCCCACAAATGCCCGGCTTTTGGGGGCTTCGGAAACAGGATGGTCACTATGCTCGTGGTCTCCATGGGGAGGGCTCTTTCTCCGGAGGCAGGAAAACTGAACTTTAAAGACGCACAACTAGACAACCACGTTGGAATCAATTTGCCGACCGGGCGGGATGAAATGGAAAATTGGTCCTGGGATATGGTTCGTCTTCAGTGAAGCTCGCAAGCGACACAACAGAGTTGGGAGTTCTGAGTGTGAGTTAGCAATGCACCCTGAAAAACACCAGCGTCGGGCCCGCGGGCTTGAGAATAAACGTCAATTTACTGCTTGCTGTGTATGTAGTGTTTTCAATACTGCTCAATCTGACCCATCCTTTTCCCACTCAGAGCTTGCATACTACGTGCTTCTACCTACCTACCCACATTTCCACCACCAGCACGAACCCACTATACCGTTAGCTTTTTGGAGGGTATCGTAATATCAGGGCGGTTCTCAAAGCGTCCTCATGCTGGCTTCATTCTCATGATCCCCTTCAAATCCTTTTCCCCATTCCTAACCTTTGTGTTCGTAGCTTATCACTTGAAACTTCTTGCACCTCATCCATTTTCGTAACGTCCGGCAGTTTCATTTGCTTATCACCGGATCACGTCACCTTCTCTATCGATGCCTTCCAAGCTCTCCAAGATATCACTGCCACCAAGCATGCCCACCCCTCCGGTTGTGGCTTTCTTGTCCGCCGTCCATACCTCGTGAAACTTGACGCTCTTATCGCTCGATGCAACCATAATGCAGCCTTCCATCGCGGTGCGGTTGGAGCCTCGCGCCCTACCTCCGCTGTTCCCCGATTTGCGAGCATCATTAGGTCCGCTGGGATAAGGAATTGCATAGAGAGCTCGGTGCTCCCCAGCCCAGGGAACAGCAGCAACTTGGCGGCAGTCGGGCCAAGAGAAGACAGCAATCCGCACCGAGTGTTCCGGTTGAGCGTAACCAAAGGTGGCGGCAATCTCCCGTCGGGTCGTGGACCAGATTAGACTTGTGACTTGCGCAGCCACAGATATAGTTGCAAGGGCGGCGCCAGAAGTCGTGTGAAAGAAATGAATGCACTTATCGTTTGATCCGCCTCCAGTTGCCACCAATCCCTCCTGCCACGGACAAAACGCAATTGCTTTGACTGCAGCTCTATGCAGCCACCTGTACCGTTCGTCTCCTGGCTTGAGGACTGGAATCACGCTGGCGGGCCTGGGAGTTGTACGGATCTCTGTGGCGATCTCTGTTGCTGACGAACTCTCTGAATCTCCTTGCGTATGAGAGTGCTGCGATACTTCAGTGTGCCGTACGCGTCCCATGTTACGGCGTGCGTAGTTCATGTCTAGAACCTTCTGCGTTTCGAACAGACAACACAGGTTGTCATTTCCTCCTGTAGCAAAGCGATCGCCGTTGGGTGACCAGGATAAGCCGCAAATCTGTTGAGAGTGTACGTCGATGCGGGCCAGCAGCGTCAGCTGTCCTTGCCAGTTATGACGCTCAACTTCCCACCTGTCCGGCCACTCAACAGAATAGTACCAAACGCGACCTGCCTCATCTCCCACAAGCAAATCCTCAGTGGCAACGAGCACGCCGGGTGTTGAGGGACAGCCTGAGGGCCGCATAGTGCATGATGGTTTCCAACTCAAGCAAGCAATAGGTGAAGGATGAAGAACCTCAAAACGCGGAATTGGGGCAGCACGCGAGGTTGCGGGATCTGCGTCGTCGAGCAAAGACATCAGTCCTAAAGTTTTGTTAGACCGACCGTAGGCCAAAATAGCTTTGTGGCCATCTGCCGAAGAAAAAGCAACACTGGTTAAATGGCAGTCGTCCTGGGTTCCAGCATTGAGCAGACGAACTCCGCGGGACTCCGACCAGCCGTAAAGAAGATCACCCAGGCCGACAGCTAGAGTCCGACAAGTGGCGGAATAGGATAGGATTGAGCAGTAAAAATCGTCTCGTAAGTTGGGGGCATCGAGAACCCTACAGCATGTTAGCATGGTCTAAAGACATGAACAGACGGGACCACATACTTGAAAGGAGCGGTCGGCAATGATCTGTTCTCTTGTTTCTTTTTCTGCTGCTCTAAACTCGAGTTAGCTGATGTGTCCTGTCTTTGCATTAATTTGTAATACTCACTTGGAGACGATCCTTCTTTGACCCATTCTGTTCCATTCCAATGTGTGTGTGATTTGTTAGACCTTTTCTCTTTGCTTTCGGTTTGGTGGGGAATGATGTTGACGTCCAGAACTCGGGCCGCGCGATCAAGACCCAAGGCAGTTGCCAGTCGGGCTTCGTGTTTCTCAAGTTCTTCCTCGGCTTTTGGCTTGATGGTCGGGAATGACGTCCGAAAGAGCCTGGCGTTTGTACCACTCCTCATCAAATGGCCACGTCCGTTGTTAACTGCTGTCTCTGCGGGCGGGGCGAGACCACCAACAGCCCATATTGAGCCAAGGCTGAATTGCCTATCTTGGCGGTAACTTGCGTTTGTATTGACAGGGCCGAGAACGCTGCCTACTGAGAAATCGAGTTAGCATTTCTGCAAGACATACGGTCATGGATGGACCTACCTCTGTTCCGACTTGCTGCTCTATTTGAGCGGGATCGCGGCCCAATATCGAAGGTGTTGGTTGCCACAACTCTCCGATGGCTAGAAAAGGCATCCTCAGTGGCTGAATTGTGACGAAGAAGTTTCTCAGGTGTGGTCAACTCGTGTGGCGACTTGCTGGTGCGAAACCTTTCAACAGTGTTTGATGAGAGTGTCCTCGAGGGTATGAAGCGGTCAGGAATGCGGGTCGAACTGTTTCCACCGCGGCTTAGGCTGGTCTTAAAGCCCCGCGGGATCTTGGAGCCAGAGTCGGAAGTAAAGAAGGACAGAAGAGGTGGATGAGAGCGAGCTGAGCTCCTGGGTAATGTCGCGGGCTTATGGCGCTTCCTAGGGCTTTTGTCGTCAGGACACTCGATGTCTACTGCTTCTGTGCCGGGTGCACCAGGACGTCTTTCCCTGTCATTGTAGGCTTCTAGCTTGTATTCCTGATCTGATGTGTTCTTATCGTCAGACTCGGAGAAGTTTTCTTGATCCGAGAGATTCCTATCGCCCAGTCTCCAAAGGTAGTCGGCCTCGATGAGAGTCCTCTTCTTGTGGGGTGTGATTGGAGTTGGGGGAGCCGAGCCGTAGCCAGAGTCGGAGGAGCTGTGAGGGGACTCATAAGGTGAGCCACAGACGTGATATTGACGTTGGGCTTCTTGGAGCAGGGGAAAAGGCGTGTGAAATGTCATTGTGCCTGTGGGCCCGGGAACGAAGGCTCGAGAGCCACGATTGCTGTTGTCGTTGCCCATAGCGAAGATACAGCCGATATATACCGAGGTACTGATGATAGCACGAGTAGCAGACCTCAAGTGAGAAAAAGATAAGCTGGAAAAAGAATGTTTAGTGAAGTGGTCCCATCAAGCTCGAGACCACACAGGTTGTCGAAGCTGGAGTGATGCGATACTTTGGTGAAGTCGGCTGAATGAAGTGATAGATGGTGATGATAAGAACCGGGAGAATCTGCTGGTAACGAAGGGCGTGTGGAGCGACAAAGACGTCGAGCTGTGTGCGAGAACCTGGACGAGAAGCAATACTTGTCGTCGGTGTGCTCGAACGGTGCTCGAGTCGCCGTCCGAGGATAGTAACCGTATTCAGATGCTGGTATTGTTAGTAGTGCTGCTGCTATGGTGGTGGAAGCGTAGTAATAATTCCGGGTGCGTGTTCCTAGGAAGAAGCAGGAGGAAAAGAAGATGGAGTCGAGGAGGCGTATTTGGGGGGTTGACGATGAGGTTGAGCTCAGCAGTTTTCTGTGAGGGAAGACTGATGTCGAAACTGAGAAAGCGTCACCTAGACGTCCACGCCGGCCATTTCAACTGATTGATGAAGCGCAATGTCCTAGTGAAGTGAGTGTTTGTGTGTGAGTGCAAGAACGCCCCGGGAGATAAATGAAGCAAGTCGTGATGAAGTAGTAAGTTCAGTTTCGTTTGTCAATCTCGAAGGTTCAAGTGGAAGAAGTTTGCTGGTCAGTCAGGCACAGGGAACTCATGAGATGACTGAACACTCAGCAATAACAAGTCAAACAGGCAGGCAGGCAAGATCGGGTCAGTTGGAACGAAGACGGAGTCTGTCATCCCAAGTCTGCACAATAGGAAAGAGCAACTCTGAATAGGCAGAGGGCAGGTGAGTCCCAACGATACCATGCCGAGACCGGCGAGGTTGGAGTGGACAGTTTGACTGCAGTCCATTGCAGGATGTTGGCCATTCTCCCATATCAAGAAGGCACGATGCCCAAAATCGGTAGTAGTAGACGTAGTTGTTGTGTTGGCAAAGACCACAGGCACATCCAGGACCACTCAGATACAACACAGAATCAAAGAGTTGAAAGATGGAAAGAGGAATGGAGGATTGGGTGTGCAAGTTCGTTCCTGCATGATGTTATTGTAAGACATCCACGATAAGCCCGATAAGCCCAATAAGCCCCACTCACTCTGGAGCTGTCTCGCCAAGCCTTCACAGAGACCAGGGCTCTCCCGGTAACCAGCGGCATTGTCCTATGGCGCTACACCACAGTAGGCATAGCGCGCTGATAGCAGTTGCCTGCCCCGTCCCATCCTCTCCGACGTCACCTCATCAAAGGCTACGGAACATGTATGTCCCTTTGAAGCAAGCCCCGATCTCCCATCCAACCTAGCCCCTGAACCAACCCGTTGACAGTTGATAGCAGTATCATGGCCGATGTAAGACACAACCGGACTCCAGTCTAGACGCTAGGTACTTTGGCAGGCTGTTGACTGATGGGGAGACGCATCCCAGCAAGGCGGATCGAACCACGGCATAGCCCGCACCTCGAGAACGCGCACCGAAGAGCAGCGCCAGAAGGACCTCGAGCGCATCAAAGACTACCGCGCTCTTGAGGACGAGGTGCGCCATCACGCCGCAAAGAACGACTACTCCCCCGACGTCTTCGCCCTCACCTCCAAGCTCCTGCGCCTCAACCCTGAGTACTACACAGTATGGAACGTCCGCAGGCGCTGCCTAATCTCTGGATTATTGTCCAAGCTCTCGCCTGGCTCCTCGCCCTCGAAGGCGTTGCCGACTTCTTCTCCGACCGCCACTACCACAATCTCTTCCGCCGACTTCTCCTCCTCTTTGTCGACCGAGACCCCGCCCGCCCCCGAGTTCCAGACAACTGGGAAGAGTGGTACAACAGCTGAGGAGGAGGACGAGGAACAGACGCGGC